AAGGTAGGTGAAGGAGTCCACTTCTTCCAGGGGAGTGTCTTCCACTGTCACAGCAGGGCTTGAAACTTTTCCTAGCCTCACTACTTTTGATTTGCATCACAATAAGGTCATGTAAGTGCTGAATATTAGAGGTGTTGCAAGAGAGTAACAAATACAAAAAAGAAGGAGCAGAGTATCTGATAAGGACGACTGATGTTTGATAGGAAAGAAGAAGAAAAGCACACCAGAGCACCCGCCAACCATCCAAGGAGAAAGACAGTGGGCGTGTTCATGTCAACGACCAGTCCAGGAGACATAATATTGTATCTACTGAAACTATTCCCTGTAGTTAACTTAATATTGAGTGATTAAAAAAGATTGAACCAATTTCATGACGTAATATTTAAACAAGGAAAAGCAATAGAAAAATCCAGCTGCGTCACAAATATTGTACCCACAATCAACGTCTATTTCCTGTCTTACAAGTGTTCAATGTAGCCACTACCAGCAGCACAGGCAACTTCAATGCGAAAAGAAAACTCATCCCAGATGCATTTCAGAATAATACGGTCAACTGAGTTGATAGCTGTTGTTATATGATGTTTAAGGTCATCAAGGTTATTGGGTGGCGATTGAACTTCAACTCGATCTTTAACTACATGAACATATCCCCAAAGAGAAAAAAATACCCACACACGGCGAGGTTTGAGGATCTGACAGGCCGAGCACAGAAAGCAAGATCTTGGGCCCTTTTCCGCCGAATCCTATCGCTAGGGCGTTTTGTAATAGAAGTTCGAACTACCAGATGCCAGTGGATAGGTGCTCCATCTTGTTGAAAAATGAAGTCATGCGAATCTGCTTGAAGTGATGTGAAGAACCAGTTTTGGAGCATATCGAGATAAGTTTGTCCTGTAACAGTATTTCGCACCAACAACTGCACGTCCTGTGACAGCCATTCAATAGTCACTTTGACTTTGACAACTCACTTTTCAACTGGTCACCGACTCATTCCATAACGATGCTTTAGAAGAACTGAAGCAATGCCTCTTAAAATCGGTTCATTCTTTTTAAATCACCCTGTTTAGATATTACAATATAATCCATAGCATTTATATAGGCTAGTGTGAGTTCCAGCTCAACAGTAGAAAGCTCTGTGCGAGCGATTCACAATCTACCGGGTAATTACCCCAGCAAACCTGATAGTATTCTGAACCAATATGAATTTCACAAGAAGCGTACTGTGCAAACTACCATGTTACAGATGCTAAAAGATTCAAAATTAGTACATGTACTGACAAGATCTTTCGCTGCCACTGTCCGGGTATTCATTCACATCTGAGTGAAACGAAGTAAGACATTTCAACACACCTATGAGGACGATAGCTTGATGAAAACGGCCTGTAATTTTATACATGTTGCCAAAGCAATTGATTGGTGGTAATTAATTTACGCTATGGAGCGTGGGTGGTTGTTGTATGATTTTCTCCAGTAACACCTCTAACCTTTGGCCCTTATGACCTGTTTGTGTTGCAACTGCAGCAATTTTGTTTTAGTATAAAAAAAAGAAAAAGCTGAAGCACGCACCTTCTGAGATGATTTCTATCTTATAGACAAACAACTACCGCCCCCTATTGACACAATGGTAGATCATTTTGTAGGCAGGCCGCTTCGATTCGATCCTATCTGTTGGGGCCAACCCGGGAGGAGTGAGATGGAGTATCCCAGGACAGATTGTGATTTCGAGGAAAACAACTTTCCCAGGAAGGTATTCATCAATTCACGTCTTTACCGTCCAACGACGAACAGAGCCATTACTCCAAAGACGCCAGTTCCGTCACCATGACGCTGACAAATTGCTACCTCTAAGAATTACAAAGTTCTATCTGGCATTTTGGGCTTTTTTTCAATTACTATGACCATGAGGTCAGAAACCAAAAGTTCTGTGTCATCTGCTCTATCAAAATCGTAAGATTACTGGGAGTCGTTATCAAGATATTCAAAGAATTACATTCGGAACAGCTTAACATGATGTGAAACTCAGAGAATATTTGACGTTAAAAATTTAATTTCTTAAAATAAGTTAAAACTAAATACATCTAGGCAGATAGAACGTTGTAATTCTGAGGTCTCGAAATGTTATTGTTTTAATAGAGGTTTTACGGCGCTCGCAACTGCATAAGATCATATGAGTGCCAGAAGATTAGAGGTATTACAAGAGAGTAACAAAAATAAAAAAAGGAGGAGATAAGGACGATAGATGTTTGATAGGAAAGAAGAAGCAAACCACACCAGAGCACCCGCCAACCACCCACTCGAAATGTTAAGTGGAACTTTTCAGTGAGTAAGTAAAATAAAGTTTGTTTGTCTCGAGTTTTTGTTTGTTTGAGTAGAGAGAAGCCCATCGACCCAATAATGGTCATTTAGTGCTGGGAATAAATTCTGCAGACAGACAGACAAAAACAGAGGGAACGTAAAGAAGTAGGACCAACCAACTGCGGCAGAAATAAACTAGGACACCAAAGAACAAACAAAACAAATCATTAAGTGAGAAACAACACCACCAAGTGCCAGACTAAGAAACGAGAAGCATACCAGGTGAAGCTCATTTTAATGAGAGTTTTACAGCACTTGCAACACAATTCGGTTATACTACAAGCGCCGGAGATTAGAGGTGTTACGAAAGAGTAACAAACACACACAAAAAAGAAAAAAGAGAGAGGGACAAGGAAAACAGATGTTTGATAGTAAAAGGAAGAGCAAACCACACCAGAGCACCCACCAACCACCCACACCGGGTCATTTAGAGCAAGGGGTAAAAAGCTAGAAACAGAAACAACAAAAAGGGAAAAAAAGAAGTGGGACATACCAGTGGCACCCTCCAACCACCCATGATATAAAGACAGTGTCAAATAAACGGATACTGTCACACGAATGGAACAACAAAGAACAAAGTATTTTAAATATAAATTTGTTATTTATTGAACTACTCTGCAACCAACTTTAATTATACTGAAGAAAAAAAAACAAGTTATCGTTTTTTTCAAAGAATGCAAGAAAACAGTTACATAATGTATGGTATGCAAACAGTGTCGATCAGTGTGGGGACACAAATAAAAACAAGAGCTGACATTTTGCAAAGTCTTGCAACAGCTGTCCTGGTCAATACTGGAATGTACTTCAGCCCTTTCAAGCCTTCCCTTTTAACAAGCTCAAGAGACTAGCCGTGAAGATCCGATCCTATGGGCTGAGGCAAGTGGTAGGTAACGGCAAGTCAGAACAAAACAATGTAACATTTCGATAGGAAGTTTACAACTATGGGAAACACTGAAATGAAGCAGAAAGGGCAAGCCACATCAGAATGCCAACAACAAGTCAGAGCACCCGTCAAAAGCTGCTCAGTGCCTATCGTTGACCTATTGTAATTTGTGTAAGACGGAGACTCTCGTAAAATGACATTTGGGAGTACTGTGTGCAACTCTACTGCTAGGGCTGGTAAAAGTTGAGCCGGGGTGGAATGAAGTAAACGAATGCAGTCCTTCATAACATTCACGCTCTTTCTTCAATGAAAATATATCTCATTTTTTACGCTGCCAAAACCCAAGACGCCTGTCATATTTTATGACCCCCCCCCCCCCCATGGGTTTACAATTTTTTAAAATAAAAAATAATTGAACAAATGCGTTTCAGTGTTAGGTGAAGGTGTTTTACGTCCCTTATCAACATAAGTTAGATAATTCAAGATGGCAGTCTTCGATCCTGCTCATAGGGGCCAACCTGGGCTGAGAAGGATACATCATCCGAACAGAAAGGCCGAGATACTTGATAAAAATTCTCCCCACAAGAGAATCGAACTTGAGTCTCCTACCTGTTGGAGTAAAGTGCTTAATTACTACACCACAGTACAGACGCTCGTTAACGTTTTATCAAGTCCTTTACTGTATACAATTTGACGGAAAAGAAATTCAAGAAAAAAATAATAATTGGGTTTTATGTAAACCTGATTCAAGTGGAAAAATCTTACATTTACAAAATTTCTTTATTTAAATTGGAGAGCTCCAATTTTATCTGAGTAGGCCTACTTGGCAGGCCTGTAGCTGTAAATCCTACCATCTTTGATCTAAATGGCCCCAGCACTGTTGTTACAGCAGCAAATCAGAACTTACGCCACGCTCGGCTGCCTAGATTGCGGTAAACTGTCAACTAAACAAGCATCCATATGTCTGTGTTGTCCCCAGCACTGCATTTTCTTTT